AAAATAAATTTAAAAACAATATTATTTTAATTTATTTTCATATAAAAAATATTTTAAAAAATAATCACTACCACATACTAAATTAACTTATTTATATGCAATAATTCAAACTAAACATCTCGTCAGAGGCACCCCTTGCCCCATTTAATTTTCTTAATAAAAAATAGAATTCTATGAAATATATTCAAAAATCAACATAAATCAAAGCTAGCTAGCATCTCTTATTGTGTCTGGCGAAATTCTACTACTATATATTCTTTGAGTATATATATTATCTGTTTTAATCATGTGATCTCACAGTTTTATCTCATAAATATCACCTAAATCAATTTAAAATTCACCATACACAACAATAATCGTGTCATTAATAATGTGATGCAGTATGCTAATCTTATTAAAATGACCATTATTTAGCTGGCGCCGTGCGTGTAATTGCTTCTTTTTGGAAACACGAATATTTACGAATTATAGCCACAAAAAATGTTTCCGATGATATATATTTGAAACATAAGTGAAAAAAATAAAAGAGGTTTCAACAATACTCATATATGTTTGTAAGAAATACTCAAATTCATTATTATTATTATTATTATTATATAATGAATTCATACATGCTCAACAACTCTCATATGATTATAATAAATAGTGGCATTTATAGATATAGTTGAGTCAAATTTAAGTTTATAATTATATGCAATTCAAGTTTTAATATTTTATAAGATAAATTTAATTCAAACAAGTTGGACAAACAAAATTAGGCTAAATTTGTTGGGGATGTCACTCATATTCACGGGTTAAATTTAAATTATTAATTTTTATATATTTAGATTTAAAGAATTAGAAATAAATTATATGTATCATGGCACACTGATATTAGGTTTAACTTTATACCAATTTTTTTAAAAATAAAATAAAAATAAATATTCAACACATAAACTATCAAATATAAAAATAAAATAAATATAGGGTATATAAATTGATTGAATTTTAAAAATTTTAACCTATAATATCTATTTTTTAGATTTTTTTAACTCACTTTTATTTATAATATTCATATCCTGATTTCAATAGATTAAATCCGGTAAAATAATATAAAATATAACAGATATACTAGGTTTTTTTAACACCTTCGAGTATAATGCATGCATAGATCTAACAACAGAGTCCAGTTCTCAAAATGCCCCCTTCTCTTTTTGTTTTTTACTTGTTCACACATTGAAAAGGAAATATTTGGCTTTTATTTATTTATTTATTCATTACCTGGAAAATTGGTTAAAAAGAGTGATAAAAGTAGTTGGTGGATTTATGTATTTATTTATTTATTTTTGGTGGGGCCGGGGGGGTGTGTTCTGGGATGGATCTGTGTACACGTACACAGGAAAGGTTATATAAAGATAAAGGCAGAGCCGGGCCCACAGTGCACTTTCTCGTGCAAAATTGAGGTGATTGGCTACACCTCACTCTCTGCATTTCCTCCAGTCCGTCCTGTCACGCACACACATGGACGGCCCATTTGCCACCCCCACCAATCTTCCACCCCTGATGATGATGCTGTCTGCTACGCCAGGGGTGTTTTTTTATGGCTCGCTGCCTCCTCATTGGCTATATTTTCCAGGTTTTACCATGTAATCAAAACCAATCTTATAGTTTCATCATTAAAAGAAAGAAAAACATAGGTTATAACTTTCTTTTTTTGGCAGAACAGAAGTTATAACTTACCTTTCAGAATGTTAATATTCTAAATTCATATAAAGGACACTTTTTAGCATTATCTCATAATTCAAATTCTTGAATTAAAATAACTTTTTGAGGAATTTCAATGGTTAAACAATCATGAGTTGCAACAATCACTCACTCACTCCCTCCATCAAATGATTTTAGAAACTAAAATTACTACAATTAAATAATTGTTTTCAATAATAAAAATGTTTATTTTTAAGATTAGTATACATGTCAACTGAAATTAAATCCTTTTATAGATGATCTTATGCATAAATCCTCATATTGATTTATTCAATTAAAAAAATTCAATAAATTCTCCTAATTAATTGTCCCAAAATTTAAATATAAGAAATCCTTTTTTATATTAAATTGATTTAAAATTGATTTTTATGATTTGTTTTTATGTATGTGTATAAGGATTTTGTGATGTTGGGAAAAATTTACATCGCGTGGTGGTGATTAATTTGAAAAATTAAACTTTAATTTTATTGATTTAAAAAATTTAAGTTTTAAAGATTGAAATTAACACTTAAATAAATATTTAATCTCTTTATTTTTTCTAATTGCATGGTTATGTGAAGAGTTTATGTTTTTCCAGGTTTCCTTGATTTTTTTTTTATTTTGATATGATAAATTCACATTGATTTTATTTGGGATTTAACTTTGTAGTTTGATTTAGTTACCTAGATATGAGTTTCTTGCAATGTCCATGGAAAATTTTGGCACTCAATTAATGCTTGATTTTGTAAAATAAAATAAAATTTTATTGATATAAAATAATTAAGTGTTTAAAAATTTACAATTAAAGCTAAAACAAATATAGTAAATTGTGATGGATAAATAGGTCAACTTGGCTAGCATGTAAATCGCACATTCCATCATATGGAAGAATCCCTTCTCATTTAAGTGGTGCATGCAACTTTTTTTTATAACCAAACATGGCTATAAGGTGTTGAGGTGTGTTTGTTGGGGTGGGGCTTGGAAGTTGAGAAACAACAATTGTATATTATGAGTTTTTTTCTTCATCCTCTTTTCTCTCTTATTTCTTTGGGATTCGTGTTAGTTTAATGATTTTTATTTTTTTATTTTTTAATTTTTTTGCTTTTAGTTCTTTTTAAAAATTAATTTTTTTTAATTTTATGATTTAATATTAAGTTAATGAGGAATTAAACTTTATAAGTTTTTTTTGGTCTCAACCTCATGACATAGGACTTAAGTTTAGAAGGTTAATCTGAATTAAAATCAATTTTTTATATCATTTTTTACATTAATTTTTTTTTTGTTTCATCATTTGGTATTAGGTTTGTTCAAAATTAGGCTTCATTGTTTTCTTTGCTTTCTTTTTATATGAAGTTATTCTAGATTTTTAGTCTCATGATCTAATTGTAGATTTGATGGGTTAACCTAAAATGAGTTGGGGTTTTTTTAATTGTTTTTTAAGATTTTTTTTTCAATTTTATCTTTTAACATTTGATTAGTTTGAGAATTAAGTATTTTTATTTTTCTCATTTTACCTTTTATTATGTTATCTCATTCACTTACTTTAGGTCACGGTTTTGGCGAACTGTGAATTTGTTGGTGTTTTCTCATTCATTTTTTAATTGATTTTTTTGGGAAGTTTGTCATAATAATTTTTTTTATAGGATTGTCTTGATTTCACAACTTTGATCACGGATTTTATATGTTAGCTTAAATCGAATAAAATCATTTTTTCCTTTTTTATTTCTAATTATTCATTCAATATTGAGTTATTAAGAAACTAAGTTTTGTAATTTTTTTATAGGTTTTTTTTTCTTTGCATGTCATCATAATCACTTTTCTATAAAAACTTGATCTATTTACTATCATTGATTTTTTAGTATCATATATTAAATGAAACACGGTTGTTGAACCTAGTAAAGTACAAGATCTATGAGCTTTCTTTCTTCCTCGGTTTTTTTTTTTTCCAACAAGTTTCTCTCTATTCTCTTAGTTTTCATAGGTTGAGATGTGAGAAAATTAATGATTAATCAAAATGTAAAATCCTAAAATAATAGGAAAAAATTGATGTGTAAATGAAAATTAAGGAACATACTAAATTTTTTCAGTCAAAATGAAATAAAAAAAGCTTTGTTTGTTTGTTTTTTTTATTTTTCTTTCAATTGTTTTTGAAACTATATTTTTTTAATTATATTTTGAAAAAGTGTTCTTTAATTCAATTTTAGAATCTTTTCAAACTCTTGAATACGTTATTGTACATAAAGAAAAGCAAATCCAAATATTTAATATAATATAAAAGGATTAAATTGCATTAAAATAAAGTTTGTTGAAAAAAAATCATTTTTTTTATTGAACAGTGCTATTAACTTTACTTTAGATAAATGTACATTAAAAATTAATAATTACATGAACTTTTAATAGTGATAAAAAAGACTCGAAGCTGTAATTACCAAAACAAACCCAAAATCATAATAAACAGTGCGACCATCAGAATTCTTGAATTAAAATAACTTTTTGAGGAGTTTCAATGGTTAAACAATCATAAGTTGGAACAATCACTCACTCTCACTCACTCCATCAAATGAGTAAAAATACACTTTAGATAAATGGACAGTAAAAATTATTTTAGTTATATTTTATAATGCATAATAAATACACACGCAAGCACACCATAGTGCACAACTGAAGTTCTACGATTGAACAACCAACACGTTTGCAAGCAAGTAAAAGTTCCTTGCAATTTCATCTTCGAAAATCATATTAGCATGATTTTATTGTATTGAGATTTGTTTTGTTTTACATGATATTGTATGTGTGAAATGTCAAGAATATCACAATGTTGAATTAAAGATAAATATTAATAAATATGATTTTAGTTTACAGTTTAAAATTTCAAAGAACAACCACAAAAATTAACGCACAAAAACAGAGCCATTCTTTATTTAGAAGGCGCATAAAACTTTCATTTGCTTCTTGAAGTTTTAGTTTATGCATGTCTTGATCTTTTTATTTTAAGATTTTATGTTTTTGATCATATGGAAAAAAGAAAAAAAAAACATTTATAATACCAATTTTTTGCCGTAAAAAATAAACTTGAAATCTAGTACAGTGGCTGCTGACGGCGAAATGAGATGTGAAACTGCATTAAAAGCCAAAGGGCAAGACTGGGTAATTGGATGTCCAAACCACACCCAAATCCTCAGAACTATCACGTAATCCAGATAACAACACAATCCACTCCCACAACCAATCCCTTCCTTCCACGTGTATGTAGCACAATCCATCGCATCATCTTCTCCTGTACAGAGAAAAATCCTCATTAGGCGCCACAAGGTGTCAAGTGATCATCAAATCAGAGTCTTTGGCTACAGGAAAGGTGCCCTTCTTTCTCTTAGCATTTCTTCTCCAAGCTCAAAGATCAAACCGAGTGGAGGAGAAAATATGTGCAGCAAAAGCAGCCTTACCAGACTAAGAAAAAAAGCAGCAAAAGAAGAAGCAAGAGTACTAATCCCAGCGCGAAAAACCAGAAGTAAGACAAGAAAGCCTAAGTATCTCTCTCTTAAACTTGAACTATCTCCCAAAACAAAAACCCCACAGAAATCCAAGACCAAAATGACCCACAGTAAACAACTGAAAACTCTATTCCCTCTCCATCCAGAAAATCTCGTCCAACAATACAAAGACATGCATGAGCATGATCAAGTTGCCTTTCTCTTGGAAACAGCCAGTACTGACGATACCTCCACCACTCTCCAAGGCCTCCTTGACACCACCACCTCGGAGGATGGCCCACTTAGCTGCTATGTTGAGATTGATCAAGAGAGATGTGATGGGCGAGCCAGCTTGCTGGAAAGGACAGCAATGAAGTGTAAAGAGAGAGACTTGAGTGATGAGAGGTGGGTGAGTTACTGGGAGGTGGTGGAGAAGAAAGAGCAAGAAGAGGTGAGCAGCTCTTCTTGTAATGGTGTTGCTGATACGCCGGGGAAGATGCTGCAGGCTCAAGATGATCACAAAAATGGGTTGGTTGGCCTGAAGCTCGATTATCAAGAGATATTGAATGCTTGGTCTGATAAAGGCCCTCTTTACATCGAAGGAGAGTCCCCACAAACTGTTCCTGATATCTGTGACGGTTCCAATGTAAGCACTTGCTCTATAACCTTAACAATTTAAGCCATTATTTTTTTAATTCTTCACGGCATAAATTAATATGCAGCATTGGCTTTTGTTTAATAAATATATTCTTGATGACCATGATGGTATGGTTAGGGATCTCTGCTGGTGATCAATTATGGGCTATTTTATCATTTTAAAACAGTATGTTGAGAAAATGATAGAAAATTATTTAGAAAATATTAGGGTTTCATATCGAACTGTGCTATTGAGAACACTGATTGTTTGCTCAAGAAATCAAAAGTAAAATTAATTAATATGTACCAAAATCAACATAAAATGCCATGAAGATCCAATAGATTTAAGATCTAATCATCAAGAAATAAACTGGAAAATAAACTGATCTAATATGAGAGATAAATAAAGGGAGAAAAAGAAGGGAAAGAAAGATGAGTTATTGGAGATAAAAAAGCTCTATTTTTTATATTTAATATTGTTAAAAAAATTTAGACAAGACGATTCTAATTGTATTTATCATTAAATTGAATAATATCGAAATTGATTTTATTTGGGATTAACCAAACTTTATATAACCTTAACCTGAAACAAAATTATTAACTAATTATGATATAATTTGATGATTTTTTATGGTTTAGTTAGAATTATTTTATCAAGATATTTATAATGATATAGATGTGTAAAAAATAAGTCTTAATGTATATTTTTGTCTCTCTCTCTTTTTTTATTTTTATTTTATGTCACATCATCTTATCTTTTTTTGTTTTTGAACTTTTAGATTTTAAATATCATATCTTAATTATTGAATCTTATCTCTTTTTTTTTTAGACTTTTAGATCTTAAATATCATATCTTAGTTATTGGATTTTCATAAATTTTTATGTTGATTTTTATATATGTTATTTAATTTGTATAAGATATATATATTTGATTTCTGAGTAAATAATTGTTATTTTTTATAATGATTGTTACAAAACCAGTATTATTTTTAAATCCATCAATAATGGTGTTTAATTGTTAGAATTTTTGTTGTCTCTCTTATGATAAGTGTGGTGGAGGGGGGACTGTTTTTGGGCAGGAGGTTCTTTTTTGTAGCTTATGGGAATCTCTGAGGTCCAGGCAGTAAAGGCGATGCTCTTTTTGCTTTCTGGGGGACCCTTCACCCCCAGCTAGTTTATGGCACGATAGTCCATTAAAGTTTGTAGTATTAATTCTAAAGTGGTCCCTATAGTTTATCAAAATTAAGTAATTAACCCTATATTATAAACATAATTAAATAACACCTTGACCCAGCTTTTACCATCTTAAATTCTTTTTTAATAAAAATATCTCATCTTTTCCTTTTCCTTTATTTCTAAAAAATTAAAAGAATAAGATAAATTCAAAAGGAACATGAAATTGATTAAAAGAAATTAAGTTGTCTACAAATTATTAGGCCTGGGCCAAATCCTAACGTTTCTTCACTTAGGCCTCAGCCTTTCTCGGGGCCTGGATCCAGAAATCAATGAATCCCATTCCTCTGCTCCCAAAACAGAAATTTCTGTTTTATTTTTGTTACAATTGCTTAAAAAAAGTTGAAATTGCTCTTTTTTTTTATATATCGTAAGTATTTAGCTAGGAACTACTCTATTTAAGACTAGTCTTGTGACCATGATTAATTGAACGATGCGAAAGACAACCAACAAATGTGGTGGTAATAAGTGATCAATCAAGTTGGTTTGCTTTATGGGCAGCAATTAATGGACGAGTGGGGGCATGTATGGAGGGTGCCAGACTTGTGTGGCTCGAAAACGAAGGAAGGGAAAGAGATTTGGAAATCGGGGCTAAGAGAGGCAAGTGTGTTAAGGTACAAGGAGAAGAGACAGAACAGGCTTTTTGCTAAGAGAATTCGTTATGAAGTTCGGAAGCTCAACGCAGAGAAACGTCCCAGATTGAAGGTACTCTTATCTCCTCTCTTTAAGAGATGATCAAATCAGCTGTTTGATTCTTGTTTCCATTTTGCTACTAGAATTGTCAGGATTTTATGAAAGATATGCATCAATATGATCCTAATACCCCCACCAGCTTCAAAGTTCCTTTCAAATCAAAGCCACTGAAGCCCCCCGTTGTTTCTCACAGATTCATGTCCCCCACTCACCTCTCGATTTCCCAATATTTTCATTTTCTACTTCTGTTACGAAGGAGAGTCTCGACCTCTTGGATGGAGAGAGATTGGGTGTCATGCCATTTGAGTTACAAGTTCATTTGCCAATATTGTCCTGTTTATTTTGTTGCTTCATCCTTAACATTTCATCATGGTGCATGCTCATCCTGGACATTTCCCCTTTAACTTCTCATCAGGGCTTGGCACGTTAAAGAAAATGACCATTAATGTCTGCAAAAAGCTATACAAATTAACTGAACTTGTGCATGCATGCATGGGCACTCACTAAATTAACTGAACTTGTGCATGCATGCATGCATGGGCACTGACCAATGCAAGAATATTGCTGCTGGGCGAAGTCCTGTTTCTTAACGTACACCTTTCTCTGAAAAAGAAAATGGATTGTTGCCTAATCTAGCTTTGGCTGGGTATTTCATAGAAAACATCATGAATTTTCTCATTTCGGTTTTGGCAGGGTCGATTTGTCAAGAGAAGCTGGGAAATGTAATTTTTTTGGACATCACTAGTTATGAAGAGCATCATCATCATCTGTAGAGGGGTTTGAAGTTGGAATTAGTCATTTGTCTTCTTTTTTCTTATATTTTGTTTGTGAAACAAAAATACTGGGCGCACCGCTCATATGCATGAAATTTAGGGAAGTAAAATGAGTGCAGAAATAAAGCAGAAAACAGAGAAAAAAAAAACAAAAAAAAAGGTTTTAAAATGCTGTACAGGCACTGGATATGTGTGCGACAGCATGCGAAGTACGGAACATGTTTTTGTTTTTTTTTTGTTTTAAAAATAATTTTTGTTTTTAAATAATTTTTTAGAATAACTTTAGCTACAGAACTTGCTTGTTATCTTGCATGCATGCTTGCTGCCTGAATTGAAAAGTTTTCGGGTATCTATCGGTGTATACAACTGTGCATGTTACAGGTTTTTTTTTAGATTAACGTGGGTGTCCGGACTAATTTACATGCACCACGACTAATCCCACGAGCCCTGAAGTTAACGACCATGTAAGCCTCCAGTGGCCATCATATGAGCAACTAAGGACTCGAACCTGAGACTACAGAGGGAGCAAACTCCTTGATCCCAAATCCTTACCACTTGATCACTACCTAGATGGTTACATGTTCACATGCTAGCATTTATTTTGACATTGCAAAAACAAAGAATTACATGATCCGAAAGGAATTTAATAATTGATGGGGGAAAAGAGGGAGAGAAAGGGGATAATAAAAGAAAAAAAGAAAGGCAATGTTTTTTGAGTTATTTTATAATATATTTCAAATTATTTAAGTTAAAATATTAAAGTGTTATTTTACTATATTGATCTAATTTATTCTATTCCTATACCATTATTTGATTTGTTATGTTCATCACTCAGGCAAACAACAAACCATAATTATTTTAGGACACTTGTAAGGGGGCACATGTCCAGAACTTTATTTTTTTGTTATTTTGCAAAAATTATGTTGGTGTTGTTTTATATGTTAGGGTTTATTTCTCTTTGCATATTCTTGTGTGAAATGATTGAGAATAATATGGTATTAAATTAAAGGTTAATATTATGAAATAAAATTTATTTTATAGTTAAAAAAATAAAACGAAAGTGACCTAAATTAATAAAAAAAAATAGGGAATTTTTCATTTTTGTTGTTCAAAAGGTGTGTAAAAATTCATTCTGGTCAATGAAGTTTCAGTTTCTGTATATTTAGTCTATGCTATTTTTGGATTTTATGTTTTGATTCTTATTTTATTTTTTTTATGTTTCGATCCTTATTTTAATTTTTTTTGTAAATTTTAATTCCTAGATATTAAGAGAAGAAAGAGAGAATTATAAAAAAAGAAGAAGAAGTTTTAGTAAAAAAGTTAATCTTGATATGAGAAGAGAGTACAATGAAGATAATTTTTCTATCTAGATGTTAGATTTAGGCTCGTGAATTATTTTTTATTTTTGTTTAACTTTTGGTTTTTAAAGAGATTAAATGATGCTTTAATATTAAAAATAGATTTAATAAGGTTTCAAGAATGTTTTTAGATATTTTTAGATGAGAGCAAGTTGGAAATTGTATTTTTTGAATAAAAAACAAATAATATTATAGATTCTTTTGATAATATTAGTAATTATTTTATGAATAATAATATATAAATCTAATACGCAAAATGTTTTTAAAACTTTATTGGGGAATATTTAGTAATAATATATTATATATTTTTATTGTCAATTTTTATATAATTTTTAACAAATAAATCATCTTTTTATTTGTTTATATAATAGTGGAAGAAATATTTATCCCTCATTTTTTTTAACTGAATTAATGATAAGGTTTTGTTTTAAAAACCAAAAGATATGTTTTTTTTCCCTTAACAAAAGAGATACATGAATAGACAAAAGAAATTTTGAGTAAAAAATATTTTTTTACTAGAGGAGATAAATCATTAAAGTTATTATGAATATTTATTTTAATTACCATAAATTAAGATCGTGCTACTTTGAGTAGCACATCTTCAATTATGCAGTTTCCCTAATAATGTCTTGGAGTGTGCTAGCTTTCTAAATGTTTTTAGCAACCATGATAGTTTTAAGAACAACCTCAAATAAGTACCCATTGCAGCCTCGATTCACCACCACAACAAAACTCATAGAAAGTTCTTTGTCCTCCAAAATACTACCAAAAACTAACCACCAAAAAAAAAAAAACTCATTCCATTTTCCTTATAACTTAAACTAACAAAGGTTATCATAATAGACTAGACAACCAATGCTTGTAAAAGAGTTTTGCCTTGAAGTCTGACCCACCCTACTATTATTTCTTCTGATCAATGCTAATGCACCAACAACCCCTTGTTGCTGCCTCCTCTTATAGCTTAGCCTAGACTAGACTTAACTCCGAGGAGGCCACTCGAAGACTAATCCCAATCACCTTAGTGCCACAAAGAAAGAAAATTGAAAAGAGAGAGTTGGATTTCTAATAATTATTTCTACTTCCTCTTGCAAAAGCAACTTTAGCCCAAAGGAAACTTGTGTATTATATTACGAGGTGCATGTATAAAATGTCTTCAACCGACTCTCAAGGGAGAAAAACTCTTACAACACCAAGAAGAAGAAGAAGAAGCAAACCATTCAAGTGAGTAACGTTTATTTTCCTATCAATCTAAGATTTGCCAATTGTACTTTCAAACCCACAGATTTTGCCACCATACCTCTAGGTTTCATGTATATGTTTATGGGCCTTCTCCATGAAAACCCATTGTTCCTTCCAATCTCAAATCCATGAGCAAATAAACCAGCCCAAGATCTAAGTTCTCGAAGGTCAACAACATAAAAAAAAAATTATAATGAAAAATTAAAATGAACATCTAATCAGTGGTAGAAAATTCTGTAAAATTAAGGGTTTAGTTTAATTAAAAATTAAGGGTTTAGTTTAATTAGTTATATTTTAAATTTATTTTCTAAAAATTACCACTCTCAATTCAAGAATGGTTAGTGATCATAAACTTTTCCAAGCAAAACAATTAATGAAAAATTTGAAAGAATAAATTTATTCAGTGTAAATAAATAATATAAAAATTAACTAATATAAATAAATGAAAAAACTTAGCCAAATATTGATAATTATTTTTTAATTTATAAATAAAATAAAAAATTAATTATAATATAAAATACCTGTGTACATAATTTTAAAAAGCTATCAAATTGCATTTTGTATTAGCTTTTAAATTTTTAATCATTTTTTAATTGAAGCCAGTATAAAATCACCTCATGTCACTACCGTCCTTCCAAAGTCAAAGTTAATGAAAATTGAGCTGACTTTGGGTGGAGAGACCAACATGAATTGACATTTGTGTTTTTGTCTCGAGTCGAATATTTTTATATTTTATAAAAAATTATTTATGTAAATTTTTTTTAATGTATTTTGATAGTTTAAAAAATATAAAAAATTAATAAAATATATTTTTGTGATAACTAAAGTTCTTAAACTCAGTTTGGAGGTTGACCCGACCAAGAAACTGGGTCCTAGGTTACACGGACTTAAGTCAAATCAGGAAAATTGAAAAAAAATTGAGATTTTAATACTTTATATGAAAAAAATAAAATAAAAAAACAATATATGTGGATATAGGCTATACATGTTGTAAACAACTAAGTTTAAAAAAAAAATTCAAAAGGTTTTTTTATTCTATATTGAAAAAACATAACTTTTTTCTTATTAACAAAGAATATATATACTAAAAGACTTTATATCCCACATTGAAAAAAATAAAGTATTTTTTAGCATTTATATAGTGAATGTTGAAATGAATTAGCAACCAATTGAAAAATATGAAAAGGTAATGGCCTCTAGTTAGGCGAAAAAATACATTTGAAAAAAAAAAGGTTCTCCACAGGTTTTTATCGAGTCACCCAAGTTCTAAGTAGACCCCTTAGGTAGACCGGTTTTTTCCGAGTCAATTACAAATCTAAATTTAACATGAAACAGAATCAATCAATGTTATTAGATCTTGCTAGCAGTTGATCCCAAACACTACTGGGTCCTGCTCAATAAGTCCTAGCAATGTTGGAGCAAGACCTATTATTATTGGGTCTGGTGGTAGAGCCAAATCTAATAAACTTGAGTCTAGTTATGGAGCTAGACCCAACAGGGGCCAATGTTGTTGGGCAACAAAGCCCAACATCATTGGATCATGCTCGGCAAAAGGACCCAAAGCTACTAGGTTTTACTGCCCAACAAGACCCAACACTGCTAGGTTTTTCTGCCAAACATGACTCATTATTGCTATAATATTACTCAAAATAATATTTTATTATAATATTTATGAATATTTTAATGGATTTTATTATTTAAAAAATTCATTTATATAATACAAATATATAAAGTATATGATGTGAATAAAAAATTTATTTAAAGCTCTATCAACTTTAAAATGATAATAATAAAATTATAATTTTTCTAAATGGCTTTTTTTTTTAAGAGTTCATTTTGATTATATGTGAGGCATTTATTAAGAATATACACTTATAAAATTTTTATGTCACTATTTAACTATTTTAAAAATATTCATAAGGTTTTTTTAAATATATAAATCATATAGTCTAATCTAACATAATCAAAATAACATACTATAATTGCCAAGATTTTTTTTAAATAATATTACTAAATGAATTCCTTTTTTATGTCTATTAAAGAAAACATAATCTGATAATTTTCTTCTTTTATTTTTTTCTTATTTCTTGATTTTTTTTATTATTGAAATACATTATGCATGTACTTTATTATCTATCATTGCTAATGTGCTAGCATTTTTGATACGCAAAAAAAGAAGAAGCATGTTTTAATAAAAAAAAATTAACGTAACCTCAAATAAATTTTTTTTATTATACCCTAATTTTGTACGACATAGAAAAGTCTCATCAATTTATTTTCTTTTTACCATATAAAAAAATTTACATAAAATAAAATGAAAAAAATCAAAAGGAAAAAAATCTTAATTTGAAGTAAAGAAAAAAATTCAATTTTTTTAAAAGCATTATTTAAAGGAAAAAGACAATTATACTTTAATAAGAAAATTCAACCTAATCTCAAATAAAAAAAAATTATCACCACCTAATTTTTGTACAATATAAAAATATTCTTATCAATTTATTTTCTTTTTATTATAGAAAAAAATACAAAAATAAAATAAAGTCTTGAGTTCTGTTGGGGCAGGACCCAACATTGATGGG